TGCAGGGTCAGACATCCAGCCGCAGCAGAACACGTGGCAAAGCGGTGGTGGACAGGACACCATCCTCTCCGCCGGCAGACCCTGCCCTTCATAGCACACGGACAGCGGAGGCTGGGCACGCCAGCGTGCCCGCGCGCTCCGGGGCGGCCCCGGGCACCGGCAGAGCTTCCTTGCCGGCTCGGAGCTCCGCCGCACAGTCCTGCCTGCGTGGGCGCGGACGGCAGGAACAGGGCTGGAATCTGGGTCTCCTGACTCACGATCCAGCTTCCCTCCGCCACTGCCGCCCACACCCCTCCGTTTGTTTATCTGGTTCCTTTCCAAAGAGACCAAGCTGGTTCAGAGCGCGGCCACGTGCCACGTAGGAGAACTCAGAGACTCAGCTACTGGGGGCTCACGTGCAGCCTCCGGGACCACCGCTTCTAGTCAAGGACACTGCAGACGTGCCCGGCACAGCCCCCAGACGGCCCCGCCCCCCCGCCGCGTCGGGGTGGCGGCCAGCACACAGCCCGGCCCCCATGTCTCCGGCGGAGACGAAGGCCCGGACGATTCCCAAGCCTCTCCGGCCCAAGCGGGCAGCCCGCGGCCTCCGCCCAAGCCCGCTCTCGGGCGAGGGCCCGGCCCTCCCCGCTCAGGTGACCGAGACCGATGGCCAGAGGGACGTCTGGCCCAGAGCGCCGACCGCAGGCGCAGGGCTGGCTGGGGTTCCCTCCGCGCCCCAAAATACCCAGGCGCTCGGTGCGCTGAGTCTCAGCCTAAACCTTGCAAGTCACAGGCTTCCAAGGGAGTCCCGGGCTGGTGGCTCATGTTGCAACGCAAGGGATGGGCAGCAGCACTCCCTGCCCGCAGCTGGCACAATGCCCAGCCAGCGGCGGCCGCGGCCCCCCAGGCCCCTTCTCCCTGCGCCGCTGGTGGTGGACACAGGGATGCGCTCGGCCACCAGCACTCCTCGCCGACGTCCCGGCTCCGTGCTCCTGCACGCCGTCTGTGCCTCCCGATCCTCCCGTGGATGTGAAAACTCCACGGCGGGGTCTCCGCGCCCAGCTGGCCCGGGCGTCCAGGGTGACCGCTCTGCGCCCTCACGTCCTCACGGCGCCGCTCGCCGTCGGCCAGCAGCCGTGGTGCGGCCCGGAGGCTCGTCATGGGGCCCGGTGAGCTTCCTTTCGGGGGGCTTGTCTTCCCTCTGGGGCGCCGTTCAGCGCCTGCCTGTGCTCTGCCTGCCTGCCACGTAGGCAGGTGTGGACATTGTCTCTGTCACTCGTGATGACTTCCCGGCGCCGGAGTGCACGCTTTCCTTCGGTGACAGGGAAGTGTGTGCTCGCCAGACTGCTGCTCGCCCTCCCTCCTGTCCGCCTCTCCGGAGCGCCGACGGAGACCCGCTTTATTCTCGGCGACTCTCCGCCGCCCCGGCGTGACTCGGGCCTCACCCGGGCTGGTCCCCGGGGCCTGCTGGGTACCGGATCCTGACTCACCGGCTCTTCAGCTACGTCTGCGGTCGAGTCTACCCATCTACTGAGGTTTTATTAAGAAACACGGGATGATGTGCCGTATATCCCGATTTCTACTTGTTTCTTTCTACATGCTGCACGGTTGCTTGGCTTAGGGTTATTCTTCGGGTCACTATTCTTTATTCTCTCGTCTTCCAGCTGCTACCTTGTCTCCTGCCCTTTTGAGGAACGCCAGCGCACACCTTTTGAAGTCGTTATTGGCTTTTGCTCTTATTTCTTGTAATCCGAGGTAAAGTCACCTCCCTAATGTTGACTGCATAGATATAGTGCTTCCTTTTTTTTTTTTTTTCCTTCTTTTCCCTTAGCAATAATTTTTCTCCCAAGTGTTTTGGAATTTGGAATTGTAGACTCAGCTTGAGTGGGAGGATTGTTTTATGTTTCTTGCATTCTCTCCCTCCCTCCCTCCCTCCCTGCCTCCATCCCTCTTTCTCTGGCCAACCAGAGTCGCAGTGCAAACTGGAGCCGGCCCCCTTAGTACCATGATGATATCGGGGACCCTGCAGTCTCAGCCACGAGCGTGGGTGACTATCTTGTCTAGGGGACATGGCGGCTGTCCCTTGTACTTCACCTTGGCCTTAGGCAGCAGTCAAGAATAGCTTTTCTCTAACCTTTCCCAGGTAAGGGAATCCCACCTCAGCCAGACTCTGGAACTCTGTCCTTCGGGGGGCTCTTTGGGGGCCCACTTCCCTCCCCCTAATGCATTTCAGGGGAGCTGCCACTGGTCTCGTCACGGAAGCATCGAGGCTCAGGCCCAGGAGTGGGGAAGAATAGCCCAGGCGAGAGGAGCAAGACCTCCGAGCAAATCCCCCAAGGAGCTTCATCTGGTTCTGGGGAAGGAGGACAGCAAGAGACGGCATGGCTTCCTACATGCCAGGGGGCACCCGTGCCCTTCACTCCCAAATAGATAACATTGCTGAAGACCCTCCTCTACCCCCCAAGAACCCAGCGCCTCTAATGTTCCAAACAAGGATCCGTGGATGGACCTAAACCTTCCAAGATGTTTCTGTTTCCAGAGGGTGTATTTTTCTTGAGGGTAATGTATACCATATGTGCTATGGAAAAAAATAGTAACAACTGACATTTCTCGAACGTTCACTGTGCACTAGGTAATGTCTAAGCGCTTTCCAACATTAGCAAAGTGCCCTCCACACATTAGCAACATTCAGCCCGGAGGGCGCCCTGTGGGGTGTCGTCCTCGTCCTTGCTTTGCGGAAGGGGAGAAGGAAGTCTGGCCAGGACCCGCTGTGAGGCAGGGGAAAGCTGTCCCTGGGGCTCCAGCTCTTGGACGTCACGTGGTCAGCCTCTCGACATCTCTCGGGGGTGAAACGAGACCCCTCGGGGGAACGAACGCCAGGCCATAGGGCTGAGGCTGCCTGCACAGCTGTGACCGCACACACGCCACCCCCAAACGGTTAGAACATAATATAAAGTGTCCCCAGAAGCCGGAGGGACACGTGATACACAGGAGGAAGCCTAAGGGAGCAGACGTGACGGAAGGTCCTTCAGGGGGAGCTCAGCCCAGGCGCTGCGTCTATCATCCAGGGACCGACAGCCCACGTTACGTTCACCAGCCCTTCGTGGTCTCTGAACTTCCCACCAAAAGGGCCCTCTCCGGGGTCATCGCGGAGTCCGGCTGGGCCTACCAGGCTGGAGGAGAACCCAGCCGCCGCAGGAAACCGTGGCGCCCGCCAGGCCCGGCAGACGCAGTGGGGCGGGGGCTCCACACGACCCCCCCAAGGACACTGGTGCTTTAAGAAGGCCTGGGGGGGGCTCTGGCCCGAGTGACGGTCTTTCTTG